CCCTTCCATTGCTAATAAAAAAATTACAAAAGAAAACCTGGCAACAAAATATTTATTAAAAACTGAAACTATTTCAAACTAATGTTTATTTAATTTTTATGAATTTTTTTTAATTAATAGTTTAATTTCGACAATGTATGGCTAAACTTACTGATAGATTTTTTTTGGTCGATAGCTTTATAAATCAATCTACTATATAATAAGAGACTAACACTCTCCATATATGGACAAGTGGCACTCTCTATATTTGACACTAGAGAGTCCGCACAGGTTGGCCCGTCGTGGATTACGGTTTTGAAACCTATGTCCAAGCCCAACCCACTTAAACTAGCAGGTTAGCGGACCAACCCGTGGGTCATTTGACTTGTTTTGTGAAAAACAACATAACATATAAAATTTTTGATTAAACTCCTAGAGATTTGTTTCTATTTGATTAACATAACATATGGTGTATACACAGTTTAAGTTTTGTCGTAGTACCATTATCAATTTGTATTATATATGCTTTTTTGGCTTAGTATGTACGTAAACTTTTATGTTTTATTCTTAAGGTTATGCCCACGTCTATTATATATGTTGTATTATAAATGATAACTTGATGATATTCTTTTGTTTTGTTTGCAATTGAAAAATAGAAAAGAAGTTGTTGTTTAAATATGGTTAGTGATATAAGTTATATGTTTTGCCCTTATGATTTAAACATAAAAATATTGGTCGATAGAAATGATGTAGTAATGGATTTTTCCGTTTGACTAACTTGCTTTATTCATATTTAAACAAATATAGATTGAAACCAAACATGTATTCATGATTTAAGCAAAATATTATAAATTGTAACAAAAACTCAAATTCATAAACAAGAAGAACACATAAAACACTTGATTTAAAATTATTTAATCAAAATTAAAAATTTAGACGGGACAAATGGACCAGCCCGCGTTCAAGTGGACCAACCCGTAACGGACCAAAATAATTTCTAACCCATACTGGTTGGTCCGTCATGGATTATGGTTTCTAAATGTGTGTCCAAACCCGTCCTGTTGCGGTCTTACTTGGGCCTAACCCACGGATCGCAACCCATGTTGGCATCTCTATATGACACATGTAGACAAGAGAAAACCTAATATTTGTCATCTCCATACTCTTTATTTCTACGTTACCTTCTCTTCAAATTTCTCACTTCAGACTCATTGTCTCCTCTTCCTCTTCCTCTTCCTCTGCTTTGATATGTTTAAGTGGTTTGGAATTAAGAGACTCATCCCCTATTTTCTAAAGACAGAAAAAACTTTCCCCTCAACTTCTAATGTTAATTATCAGTTTCTCGACTCATCGTCCCGATTGTTGATTTTGTAAAGGGTGCCATCGATTTCTTATATTTGGTATAAAGGGAAGACTATTTGGGACTTCACGAGATCTCTCTGGTGGTGATGGTTGTGATCAGGTCAGAAGAGTTGTTTTCTGCAACAACCATGATAAAGACGCTTTCACTCTTCACAGTTTACACCTCTCTTCCGGTTTCTTCCTCACTCCCATGATGCATGATGCTCTGCTATCATCAGTTATGATTGGTACTTTTATTGTTTTGTTTATTTTATATAATTTCCCAGTGTGTACGAATCTTTTATTGGGTTAGGAGGGTGGACAAATCTGTTTTTTGGCTACCTGGAGTGCAAATTTAACTATGTGAATCCAGTGAAGAGATCAGTGAAAATTATGATTAAGTGCTTGGCGATATGATACATTTCTTCTTGATGACATAACCTACCCATCTCAACATAAAGTCTGTCTTGATCTCTTTTATCTCCTCATCGTGAATCTTTAGAGTAATCATCCTAACCAATCTTTTGAAATTTACAAAAAGATTAATAATCATTCTAACCAATCCTTTGAAATTTACAAAAAGACTAATACACGTGAGTTAGCGAGATATAAGAAGAATTGAGAGAATTTTTGTTCTTTAAGTTAAAATCATTTAGTTCCCTAAATTATACTTGTTCTCCAAGTATATATACTCTCTATTATTAATGGAATAAGACAACTCAATTCTCTCAGTCTCTCTTTATTCATAACACGTTATAATTGTAACCACTAAATAAAAACCCTAGTTATCTCTAGCCGTCTGAGCACGAAACTTAGCCGCCTATTTTTCTCATTTTTCTTTTCTATCTCTAATCCGATTCAAAATTAAGGTATATGAGTTGATTTTGTGATTCGATTGATAACATACAAGTGTATACTTGTTGATCGAATAATACAAACGAATCATGCTTATATTGATTATTTTATCGCTTCAATTTGTTTTGTTTTTTATGAGATGACTTGCTTGTTGATTGAAACTTTAAAATTAT